TTAAAATCCTGTTAAAATGACTGTGACGAAAATGGTAGCTAGACACAGTCATTGCTGAACGAGTCCTGCTAGCGAGGCGAGAGCCTTCATCAACAGCGGGCTTGCTAGGCCAGGAGCGGCACTTCAGGCTGGCTGAACATCCCCTCTGGGCTAGACCAAGAGGCCTATTTCCGACCTGGGGTCTCAGACCCATCTGGAAGGGGAGGTTGCACAGGCTTAGACTAGAGCTGCACGTGCATCTCTTTTAGCTAGGCAGGACCCCAGCCATAATTACTGGCTGCAAATTGGCAGCAGAGCTTCTGCCCTGGCAGGAAATGTTTGCGCTCAGGGCAAAGGCTTTCTAGGAGAAAAGCTCCAGGGCAGCCCCGTGAGGGGCTCTGCAGGAGCTGATGCAGTGCAGCCCGCAGAAGAGCAGGACCTGCTTCTCGGACCACCCGGCGTCTCCGGAGCTCGGCCCCAGAAACACTCTCACAGCCAGGCAGCCCTCCTGGCTGCGACTCCGCTGGACACTCTCACCACGCTTAGGCCTCCCCCAAGCCACCAGCTCCCTGCATTCCCTCCCGGTCCCCTTCACTTGAGGCCTGACTCCCTGTGTGGGATCAGAGCCCCAAGTCTCTGTATGCAGCGTGGAGCTCGTCACGCCAATAAGCTGGGATGCATCGCCCACAGCATTATAAAGTACACAGAGCCTGGGGAGCTAATTAAGGAACGGGAAATTGCTCTCCCTTGTCTTATATTTCATTACCCATAACAATCAAAGCTGCTGAAAGAACGGCCCCCTCCCCTGGGGGTGCCCAGTGAGAGGAAGCCCCATTCCCAAGATTTAATGGGGAAGAAGCTGGAAGGCAGCAAGGGGAGAGCAGGATGAGCGCTGTCCTCCCGGGCAGCCCTGGTCAGGAGAGGAGCAGGAGGAACCGCGCAGGGTGGCAGTGCCTCTAAGGCTGTGCCTGAGCTCTGCAGGATCCCACCGTAGCCAGTCACATCATACCAAGCCAGCAGGACTGTGTGTGTAGCGTGGCTCTCCCCCAAGCCCCACTGCTCCTCTCATGCTGCAGAGGTCCACAGTGGGATCATGAGCTTTCTTATTCTCACCACAGGGAGATGCAGCAAGATGCTGAGTGACCTGGGGGTCCAAAAGCCATGGAGCACAGTGATTCTGGTCCAGTGTTTTGCACTCGCACTTCCTCTTGAACCACAAATCATTTCATCATTCAGGTGAATGCGAGTCACAAGATTTACATTTTTACTAGTTGTTTAACCTAGTCTATGCTTATGTCCATTTACACCTATCTAGCCATTCAGCTAATAACTACATCAATTTGCCTTTCACCCATTCAAACTTTCAACCTCCCCATCTAACTCACTGTCTGCCTGTCAAGCCACTCAGCCCTCCAGCAGATTAATTTATCCAGGCAATACTTATTTATAATATTGCCTCCTGCTGCCCCTCATCCTGTCTCTTTCAAAGAGCAGCCTAATAAGAAGATATAAATGTGTCCCTGTCAGTGGGCAGTGAATCAGCACACAGGGTTATCTTCCAGGTGAATTACAGAGCATTTATACGCCTCAGCTGGCTCTGAAGACACTTCACTTCTGACAGTGCTGGAATTTGGCTCTAATTACATTTAGGAGATAGAAGCAGGGACACATTGTGCRTCCTACGGTTCAGAACAATCAGGACAAGCAATTCTACCTCACCCCAGGCCATGGTGGAGGGGAAGGAGTATTCGTCCGTGGCTCCTCGGGTGCTCATACATGGATGCAGGAGGATGAGGATGCAGCCCAGCACTGGGCTCAGTGCTACTCAGCTTAAGCTCCTACCGATTTCTGTAGAGCGTCAGGATCATTCTTTTAGGGGAGCAAAACCAATGTACACACCTCCCTCCCTCCCGTTTCTACAGGGCACCAGGTGCACAGGACTGCTGCCAACGCTCCCTAAGAGGACCATGTACTGGCCCCTTCCCAGCTCTAGTTCCCAGAGACTCACATCTTCATCCACAGCCCTACCATGATGCCTCCATCCATTGACCACTACAAGGAGTCCACAGGGAGGACCCCCTAGAAATAAGCAGTGCATCAAGGTATACCTGTCCCTCACTTCACCCTGGGAATGAGACCTGGGGCTCTGAAGGCAGGGGATGCTAAAAGGAATAGCTCTGCTACAGCAAATACCTTGAGACCTGGAAGATACCTTGAGCTGCCAATACCTTGCGCTGCCAAGTCACCTTCAGAAGCCGGAGGTTCTCTGTAGGGCATCTGTGCCTAGACATCTGTGCCCTCTCCTCCCTCCTGCTCATGGGGACGATGATAACAGATAGGCATGACACACTGCTCAGCTGCGACCTCACAGGGCAGAAACCAGCTGTCACATCAGCTCACCTGGTCTCATATCAACGTCCAAGGCACATTATCATGCCTGGGGTGTATGAGACTAACCCTGCCCCACCTCGCAAGAAGCAGGGCTTTCAGTGAGCAGGGAGCAGACGCTGCCCAGGCAGGGGGACTGTCCACACTGCTCTGTACAGACAGATAGACCCAGTGTGTCCCTTTTCTTACAGACTGGCACATGTCACCTCCAGGCAGGGAAGCATCATCCTGCTGGCACCTCCAGGGGCTGCTGGGAGGGATGCTCTGAGCCCCAACCCAGGCTCTGACCCCATGAAAGCCTCTTGGACTCTGTTAAGCCGAGTTACGTCAGGCACCCCCAGCTCTTGTGAACTGGAGTCAAATCTTCAAGTCCTCACAGGATGCCAGGACTGCTGAATTTAGACCTAAATCCACATCTTTGACTCATGACACTTGTCTAGCCCCATCCCTACTCTACCTGAAAAGCTTGTCCTAGCAAGTCACCTTTGCTTTTCTTTTTTTCCTTTCTATTTTGTGCAAAAAAATGAAAAGTGTCTCTCGGTATTAGATCCCCTGTCTGTGAGCGGCATCCCCTTGGGACTACTGTACTCATCAGTAACTTGCACAAGATCTTTACAAGGAATATCCTTTACAAGGATATTTTTATGGCTTCAGGGAAGTCTCTGGTCTGAATTTCAAACTTGGCTTGGCACCTTCTCATGAGTGTTCTGTGACAGCATTGCCTCCTCACTCAGCCTCCTTGCAGCCCCAGGTACAGCCACGTGCAAACTGGTGCAGCCCCTGCTTCAGGGTGATATTCTGCGTCCTCTTTGGGCTAGGACACGTACAGACAAGAAAAACCCATTCCTACCCCAAGATCCTTGGTTCTAGCAGAAGGCACTCAGAAACACAGCCAGGGACTTGCTTGGGAACGGGAACCCTGATACATACCCTTCCTTGCAGCAGCCCCTGCCCTTGCAATTGCCCTCTGAGTGTAAATGAATGTTTTCATCATAGATGGAAGACAGGATGGGGCCAGGAGTGTTAGGAACCACACCAAGCAATTCCTGGCAGTGGCAGTAGCCAAGTAGCCTGGCCTCAGCACACACACAAATAGCTTTAATTTCATTTCCAACTCCAGAGGGGGAAAAAAAAAAAGTGATTATATCTTTACGAAGCATTGTCTCCATGCTAAGGCTAACTGATGCCTGCTCAGTGCTGGGCTATTGAGACAACTATCCCTGCAGGTACTCACAAGGGACAGCAGGAGATTCCGCTGGCTCTCTGGCTCTACTCTGTGGACAATGCAGGAATTGTTCACATGGAGATAGGCTAGAGGCAACCATAAAATAAATTTCTTATTGCTCTTAGTTCTGCTCTGTACTTGCTGCCCTCCAAACCCAAAGTGGGCTATTTTTATCAGAAGGAAACATGTTGGGTTGCACGTAATGTCCCTCACAGCAGGAAGCTGGGCTGCAGAGGATGAGGCAATATTGATTTGACACACTAGTGTGAACTGAAAGAGGAGCCTCCATCTGCACACAGGGAAGGTTKAAGAGAAAATCAGGCAGCTCCAGAACAGAGCAGAGAGGTGATTAACTATCAAAATACTCTAATCTGAGAAGCTGCTAATGGTGAGCAGTTCCACACATGGCCAATTGCTCTCTAAGCAGAGAAAAATGAGGAACAGAGCAAGGGCTGCTAAGGGTGTACACAAAGCCAGGACTGCAGCTAGTTATAAGGCTAATTGACCAGTATCAGTAATGAGTCTGCTATTGCATTAGCCCGTGCATGCCTCTCTACCTTCCACCTTTCATTACTTACTAACAGACACATTATTGATCAGCTCGATATTCATTTGTAAGAACTATTACCGGCTGCAGCCTGCAAGACAAGCACACATTGCACTAAGTACAGAACCAGCTGTCAAGTTCCCAGACAAGGAGACTGCAACAGTAACAAGGCGGGTACTACCCTGCTCAGGGTCTTGGAGGATTCATAAAAAAATGTGAAAGGGCAAGCGTGTCCAGAGCAGATCTTTAGGCAGCAAAATCAAAGCAACAAACATGCCTGTCTTCCCATTTTGAGCCAAGAAGTTTGGATAGCACTTGGAGCACACCAGGAGCCTGTGTGCAGTCAAGACAAGCTCTGAAGACCCCTGTCTTGAAGGGACCTAAGAAGGCTGCAGTCATTCCCAGCACACACCTAGTGAGGCTCCTGGGTAAGCTCCCCAGTCAGGAGATCTCTGAGGAACGCAGGCTGGACAGGGCTAGCTGAAAGCCAAGCAAGAGACAGGTTATACATGCTTTTCATTTGACAGACATCTTCCACTGCCTCTTCCAAACACGACGGACAAAGAGTTTGAGAAATGTTTTAGTCAGCACTTTGGTGTCAAATTAGAGCTGGAATTTCTCCTAGGAGCAGCACTGGCTTCAGAGTTGCATGTTCAGGCTGCACAAACCAACCCCAGACTTCAAAGAGTTATAAAGCTCTGGCCTGGCCTCTAGAGACCACTACTCTCTTCTCTCCTCCACCCTACTCAAGCAGTAATCAAGTATACCCGATATGAGACCTAAGCACAGCTTGCACTCATTTGTAAAATACTACAGAGTTTTTGACACTTTATTCTCAGCACTGACACCACCGGAGCATGACAGGTCTGAGATCTTTATTTCACAGCTATCATTGGCTAAAGGAATGAGTTACATACTGCAGCATCCACAGATAGGCAGCAAGTCATAAGAGCAACGTGGTACTCACTTTGGGTTTAATGACAGGATATGAGACTGCACAGTGGGAACCTGAGCTCTGCTCAAGGTACTGGGGCAGGTCCAGAGACCGAGTGAAAACAAGATAGTAAATCTGGAAAAAACAAGTGGCCCAACTAGGCCTTGGGGAAAAAATATTAATATAGATGATCACATTGATGCCAGGGAAAAAAAACAGTTAAAACAGCAGCAAGTAAGAATAACCCCAAAGAGGAATCAATAACATGGTCAGGAACAGAACAGAAGAGGGAAAAGTTTAGGGCTAGCCAAAACTTCAGCTGGACCAAGTCACCACAACGTATTTTGCTAGACGGAGCGGCAGTCCTGCACTGTTTGTGAAGGGTGAGATGAGTCTGTTTTCATCACTTCCCAGCCAGCTCATAGACCAGCAGTTACTGCACTATGTGCAAATACAGTTAGTGAGAGTGGTCCACAGCCCTACACTGTCTCTCTGAACGGAATTATGTGGATCATATTAGGGGTTTGCAAAGCACTAACCACAAACCCAGCTGCGAACAAGGACAGGCAGAAGCTCTTGCCCACCACACAGCACTGCTTAGTGTTCTGCACATGCAGCAGTCTCAGACAAACCTACTGAAGTTTGTCTCCAGCAACACCGGACCTACCCTATGGTGGGACATAGGGCAGTGAACCACAGCACTCCTCCTCCGGCTGATCTGGACTCAAATAAACAGGGAGACAGCGGCAGTGCAGTAAGGGCTTGGACGCTCCACAGAGAACTAGTATGGCCTGTAGTTCCAATAACTGGAGAAAACTGAGATCTGGAAAGCAAGAGAAGAGGCAGGTAAGTTCCTGAAACCCCCAGGTCACAGAATTAAAAGCATACAATGTGTGTCAGGAATGAATTTTACAGGATTTCCTAGCACTGCATTTCAGAAGGGTAGATTTGTTGCTGTTGCCACCACAGCTTGGAGCACAAAGTTACTTGCTCAGGGTGGCAGGTCTGCTGCAATGTAGTTTACTAAATTGGTTTCTACACTTCCTCTCCAGGACCTTGGCATTTCCTAACATCCAATTTATGAACAAAAACACACTCCTCTCCATCTAGTCGCTAGGTCAGCAAAYACATCTGCTATGCTGCTACATCCATCTCCCAGGCAGTCTGCTGGGCAGTGCCAAAAAGCTGCCTGGGTCCAGAGTACTGAAGTGTATCTACCACTTGCTTTCTGTACAATATCTTTTTATAGATATACATACACACACTGAATAACATCATATAAGATTTATAGGCAATCTGCAGTCCTTTTAACACCAGGAGTCATTTAAAAACAAAGCTTCTTTATTAAGGCTATTACCTTATCCTTCAGCTGCTGGCAAAGCTGCAGCGACACTGTGAAGAAGACAAGGGCATCATTTAACCACGGGACAACACTTTCCACTTTATGAACGTGGCTGACTTCATACCTCTGGTTGCCAAACTCACTGTGTAGAAAAAGAGCACAGCTTCACACACAGCTCAACTATTCTCTTTCTATGAGAGATCATCATGACTTTTGCTAGACTTAAAACAGCACCTGGCAAACTTACAGCATGAAAACTTCTCAGTCTTCTCCTGATCAGTCTCAGAGTTAAGCATAAACGAAACAAAATTCAAGTAGGAATTTCCAAAGAGGAACACTTTCCAAAGAGGAACAACACAGGAAACACACAAGACAATGCCAACAGGTTAAACTCTTTTTGGCTGACAAGTCCAATCTCTTGCCAACTTCAGTGCAGTTTACGCATGGGCTGTAACCTTAAAAACTGCATCTCTGGGCCTGTCTGGCCAAGTCATTAAAGAAACACTATTACAGGTGCACATGCATTCAGAGCCAGAGCAAATAGCTCAGTCCTGCTTTCCTACTCAGCAGATGCTGCCCTTGGGCCCTTATCAAGGCTGCTTACAGGCACTTCAATCTTATGCTCAGCATCCTCCTATCCACGTTACACAGCCCTTGTAGTAACAACACTCACAACATAGCGCCAGGATTGTGCAGAACAGATCCTCCAGCAGGCTTGAAGTTCTAGAGGAGATAGCAAAAGTCATTAGAAGTTAGCCACAGTAAATAAACTACTTAGAGAACCTTAAGATTCATAGTTACCTTAGCCTTATATCAGGAATACCTATATTATATATGTGCCTGTTTAAGACTATGTAATTAACATATGAAACCTATCATATTTGACTCCTTGCTTTATCAGAAAGAAAATACTATACAGTGACTGGGTATAATTCAGCTCTAAATTTTTTGCACTGCAGGAGTAAACTTGTACTCATCTGAAGATCCAGAAGAAAAACAGAAGACAGATTATAAGAAAAAATATCCTTATGGAGGGATTGCATTTCATTATCCTCAAGAGTTTAGTTCTGTTTATATGAGATGTCAAACTGACTTATACTCTTGATGTAGAAATGTGATGCTGAAGAACAAATAATGAAATTCCAACTATAAGACTTCCAAGATGCTATTTTGATTAAAAATGAAATAATACAACTGATGAGCTTCCAAAACTTTGAAAAATCACCATTATGTAATGCAATATAAAGCATGACTTAGCAAAGCTCACTACCTTTCTCCAGAACACTGACACTTCCTGCTTGATTAAGTGGCTATGCCTCAAACTAGATTTAAATGCAGTGTTTCAGCTGCAGCAGTTCTAAATACAGGAACTTAATAGCAGGCACAGTCATTTCTGCTTTAACTTAGATATAAATTAATACATAAAGTTACACAACTTATAAGCAGTATACCACCTAACAGTTCAATCTCCTCCTCAGGGAGGAGGACTGGGAAGGGTGAATAAAGGAGACTGAAGAGACAGAAGGTGTCACCTTGGTTGTGCTGGGCTGCAGCACATGCAGTTGGTAGACAGTCAGGCACAGCTTATTCAGGTTAATATAGAAATTCACAAGGATGTCTGGAGGCAGAGCAGGGGTGAACATTTTCTGGTGAGAAGATAAGTAGTTTCTTCATTAGTGAAAGGACCATTATTTTTTCAGCTAGGAAATCAATATTTTTTTTTCTAAGTGATACTGCAGTTACCTCACAGTGAGAGGGGAATTAGGAAAGCAACAAAGGGACTGAGCAGGGAGACATTGTTTTTCTTGCTGAACCTGATCAAAAGGTACTGGTATGCGCACTGGTGACAAGTTGATGGAGCAACGCCCATTGATTCCTCTCATTGGTGCTCACAAGGCCAAATCATCCCAGACAAACTTTCCAGGCAGAGACCAGAATCTCTCAGAGCTGGAGTCCTTGTGTCCAAGCTCTTCCACGAGGAGATACAAAGCAGCCAAAATTACTACTGAGCTCATAGCTCCCACCTACCTCTGCTTTCTCTCTTTGGGCCTCAGGGGCACTTTTGAACCCCAATCCCACTGAAATGTAGCAAAAGATCCTGGCAATTGGGTGCTGCCAGGTTGTACGCAGATCCAGAGCAGTGCATACTTACTGTGAGACCACCAGAGGCGATTTCTGGTAGAGTCAGGGTGGCTGGAGTGGTGAGCCGATTTCGAGCTCTCGTGAGCTGTAACATCACAGCATCCATGAGCTGTAAAAAAATATACAGCACGCTACTGAGAAGTGATGCCTACACGGTCACACTGCAGAATCCTGCAGCCTTTTGTAGATGTTAAAACCAGAACAAGCCAAGTGAAGGAGAATCCATGTAGATATTGGGCCAATGGAGGCTAAAGATCTCTTGACCTTAGATTTGGTTGGACTTGCAATCCGCTTGATGACTGCAGGTAAGTTAGAGGCATGTCCTGCTAATTGCACTACTTTATCTCCTCATCAAAACCACACTTATTAGTTTGATATCTCTTGGAGGATCCCTCTCAATTAGAAGTTCCTCTATGGTAATGGTAACAAGTCATTGAAAGTGCAGACATCCCTCCCTCTCACCCAAAGGTAAAAGAGAAATAGTTTGATTTCTGTACCTTCTCCTCACTGAGGGCCCTTGCCTGTCTGGAAAATAAATTGGTTTAGCCTATGCTCAATACTGTGGTGGGCTTCTAATAAATAAGTCCAAATTCTCTGCAGTGCAGACAGCATTTCCAAGGAGACAGCTAGGCACTCTGCCACACAGCAGTTGGTCTCTACCAGACAGCATTGCCATTACTGGCAAGTGAGAAAGCACTTTCAAATCATCAGTAAATCATGTGTAGTAACCATCTCTTGTTTGCTGATGACCGCCTCATTTCTTCTGTCCCCCAAAGCACCGACTGACTGGCAAGAGCATGACCTATGTAACAGCATCATCTAGAAAAGAGCAGAGGAGATGCTCTCTATACATCACCATTGTGCTACAGGGCACTAACTGTTGAGGTAATCACAGTGATTTACAGCCATGTTTCTGATGTCACACTGCTGCAGTTTCATATCAAACATGAAGCTGCTCTTTGACTCGGGTACATATTCCTAGGCTGGGGAATATACTTCCAACAGAGACTCGAGCAGTAACATGCACCTACAACTTTAATGAGGGAGGAAAGAAACACATGCATTCCTTCCCAAATTGAGTGCTCTTCTCACCTTGAGGACCTCCGAGCCTGTTCTGAACTGGTAGTTTACATCTCTGTTCATAAGCAGGTAAATTGCTTGGTTAACATGGTTTCTAGCATCCTGGATCTGCAAAAATAGAAAATACAGACCTATTAAAGAAGCACTCCCTATAACATATGCTAGAAATTAAGGGTTCCCCGAATTATCTCTTTAACTCTTAAGAAACTGTGATGACTTAAATGTTAAAAAGGCAGTTTTCCTCTGAATAGCAGACATCTGCTCTTCAGATTCATTACTGATCTCTGCTGAAGGACTGGGGATAGATAGTCTGATACCTACAACCTGGATTAGCAATAAAAACAGGGCTGCAGCCCTGAAGGAACAGTGATGTCAGGCACTCCATTCCTGGAAGCCATTGCAAACTGCACTCAAAGACCAAATGCACTGATTACCTGCACTGCATAAAAATCTAAGCTAAGGCATAGTAAAGTACACATCAAATACACATCTTTCTCCAATCTGCTTAGCTATGTTAGACTAACTGTGGGAAACTCTTCAAGTTCAGGCACTGAATGCTCTGAAATCAGGTATCTCCCACTAAAGCTATAGGAAGAGTCAGTGTTCTGACTAGCCACGTTCTTTTAACTCCTTTATGGAAGGAATTCAGCTATGCTGCAGAAACACAAGGCAGTTTGCTCTCAGCAGGAAGAAGTGCTTCTGTAACGAACAAAAGTTATTGAGTTCAAAGCCTTCAAAATTACTCTCTGCCCTAGTAGTCTTGGTTTTACAAAGTCACAAGGCCAGGACTGTGCAAGCACCCAGGGCACTCCTTGTAAAGTATTATGACTGCAGCTAATAAAACCTTCAGCTTGCTAGTGCCTCAGGAACAAGCAGCACAAACCCCTGTACTAGGCTCCGTAACTCCAGTCTACTTTGATCTGCTTCCTCCCTCAGTTTTCACAACTGCAGGTGGATAATATGGAATGGAGATCACATTCCCTCTCCAATAGCAAGGAGTTGCACGTGTTGATGGGGAAGCACAAACTGTGCACAAGGGCAGTTACATAAAGCTAACAGTACCTGCTGCAGCTTCCACTGTTTGTCTTCCCGAAATGCAAAGTGCAGGAGCTGGTTGTTTCTGGGCATTTTCAAATTAATGTCCTTGAAGGAAGAAACAAACATGTGAGAGGAAGTCGTCTTCATTCCCAGAACACAGGATCTTCCAGTCCCACCCTGCTCTGGCTCACAGAGCCTTCACAAGCTACTGAAAGCAGCCCTGGCACAGCCAAAATCGCCCTCCTTTCCTGGCAAGAGGTTAATACAAAGGATAAGTGACAAAGTGTTTAGTGAGCTGTGAGCCAGGTAGGACAAATCAGCTTGAGTAAGAAGGGCCACAAAGAAATCTGAATCGCACTCCATATTATAGACAATATGAGCAATAAATCCATGTACAATACCACTGCCCCATCCATCACAGAGATTTTGGTATTAGCAACACTGCCTGTCATTATCATCTCAGTCAGGTGCACAGCAGCAGCTCACCGACTGCCTTCATCCAAATAACTCAAGCTGGAAGCATCTCACATCAAGTGCACGATTCAGCTGTCACCACAGCTTTGGCAAAACTATCCTTAGCATTGGCACAACTCAGAAACATAAATAAGCCAATGGCCATCAGACATGGGTATTCAAGCTGTTGGATCCTGACAAATTTCAATAGTTGCTAAAATGTTAAGTATTTCATTTCAGGCCTACCTTAAATAATAAGGATAAACATAATAGGAATGAGCCCTCCGTCATTCCTCAATGTAGTACAAAGCAAGAGGTGTGGCAAATACTCACTGCTTGACACAAGGCATCTCCCTGAAGCGTTAAGACACCTTTCACCTGGTCTGTGCTGGAACGACAAGAAAGAGCCGGGCAACAGAGGTCACAGAAGGCAGGAGACACCCACAGAAACTGCCTGCACAGCAGCACCCTCCCCACACCACGCGGCCAGCCAAGGGCCCAGGGCAAAACACTGGGGCAGAAGACAAAACATCTCCACTGCTAGACAGGCGTTTGGTTGGGGGCTGCAGATGAAGTCTCCAAAGAGAATCTCAGGCTCCTCCACACAATTGCAAATCCCCAGCTTTCAGCCCTTTCAGCCCTCTCAGCTGCTGTCATATTCTTTATGGTCACATAACTGCCCTGCCTACATTACATTCCGTTCTGAACCCAGCTTACTGCATGTATTACCTATCAACAATTCAGTGGCTGTTAAAAGCAGCTATAACAGGAGCAAACACGAGATATGGAGAGATTACTGACACAGGAGTGCTACCTGCTTTGGATACAAGTGGAGAAAAGCACTATACCCTCAACAAGCTGTTTCCAAGGACTAAAATTCCCCTATTTTGCAGCAAGCCTGCACACTCTGCCAGAGTGCAGCTGTTCAGACACAAGACTACACTGAAGGTCAAAAAGAGAACATCCATTTCAGATGTAATTTCAGAAGAACTGCACTTCAGTATCACCTTTTGCACAGGTATTAATTGGCTGTAATAGGTAGATTTATCGTTGCTATTTTAGGGAGATTAAGACAAGGGCTAAGAGTTATTCAAATCAGAAATTGAACCAAGGCCAGAATTGAGGTCTTTTAATGCCATCCACAAGCCTCAGGAATCAGTGCAGCTCCCCCAGCAAGGACTGCACACACAGCAGTGCCCTGATACAACACAACAGCGGAAGGTCAGGAAACAGCGACTGCATTAAAGATTTCAGTCTTTAGGCAGCTCCCAGAACACATCTGTAAAAAAAAAACTTCTGTGAGAGTATGGGGTTTGGGCTGCATTGAAGGAAACCCCTCTACTCTAGAAAAGCCACGGATATCTTCAGTGAAGACTGAGGTGTTACTCCAGTAAGTAACAATGCGGTGTGTGTACAATAGGAGTTTCTAGAGAGTCACAGGCACTTCATGGAGTGAGAAGAGCAGGACCCATTTTCTAGCACCCCCCATCTCACCAGTGACTCTGCTCTGGCAGGCACAGCCAAGCACATCCCCTCCTGGGAGCACCGGCAGCACAGAAGCAACGTGCCAACAGAGCAGCCACTTACCCTGAAGTGCTCAGCACAAAGTTCTCCTGCTTGATCGCTCCTTCCGAACCACTCACGGGCAGAGCAAACCTCTGAGAAGCCTCCTGTCCAAGAAAAAGCACGTGGTAAGTGCTGGAATTTCCAAGCCCAGGATAAAGACAACACAGAGCAGAAGATAAAAGGCCAGTGAGTAGCCTGAGGCAGCACAGTCAGGCTTGCAAGTCTCCAGCCTCCTGTCCAGTAAAAAAAGAAGAGCAGGATGAGGATTTCCCTCCCCCTTATCTGGAAGCAAGCTTAGCACGCAGAAAGCTCAGTTTACTTCGCCACAAAGCTGTAGGAAAGCAGTAGCAAATTCACTGTTACAGCTCAGGCCTCTAGAACCAGAGAATGATGTTAGTGCCCACACACGAGCTGCAGGAATCACTGAACTTCGAGCAGAAGAAATTCACCTTACACAGCCCAGTACGTACGTGGCCTTCAGACTGCTGGCGCACTGACCCGCTCTCAGGGAAACACCTGGCCTGGAGCTACAGTACAAAAGCAAGTGTTTTTTATGCATGAGATAACCCTCAAACTGTAATAAGACCCCTGACTGGTTTTAATAGCTAGCTACTGTCCTTTTAACCATGCTTCATCTTGAAAACTATGAGAAATTCTTCCCAACAGGTACTGCAGATTAGCCACATCCATTACAAAGCTACATCCTGAATCAGAGCTAGAGTTACCTGCTTTGATACTCTTCCCCCCTCTATCTTCATGTTTGTGCCCCTGCTCTTGAATCACCTGTTATTTCCCCATGGTAACTCCCCAGCATTAAGGGTCTGGCCTGTTGAAAATCCATCTGGCAGGAGAACACACGTTACTCCTGCACGTTGTTCCTCAGCCCCTGCACCATGGGGCTATGCGGTTGCCAGAGCCCATGTGGAGAGACAGCAGCACCCAAGAGCCCACATTTCTGCTGCCCAGAGACGCCTCAGGCTGCTGCACACTTTGCTTCTCTGAACGGGGCTGCATATACTGAGGAAAAGACTGTTTCAATGAAGCGAGCACAGGCTGCTGACTCCTGCACAGTGCTGGCTGGCCAGCTAAGGCTCATCAGGCCTCTTTCCACCATCACATCACAGGGGTCTAAGGAGGCTCCTGATTTTCTGTTGCAGATGTTCATACCTCATGCAAACACCTGGCAGATGTGTCTGGATGTCTCCAAATGAATTCTCTTAGCAAAGAGGGCCAAGAACAGAGCAATCTAGGAAACTCCTACTTTATAATCCAGTTGTAAGAAGCAAGGGGCAAACAACCAGCACGGACTGCACTGGACACAAGGACCTGCTGCCCTTCTGTGCTCTCTCCACTGCAAATTTTTGCCCCTATTCCTCACATACAAGAGCAAAGACAAATTCACAAGACCAAAACAGACCAAGCAATTCTTACCTTCAAAATATCCTGCAGCTGTTTCAAGACGGCATGAACCTCTTCTTGTAAAAGCCACTTAAATTCTTCTTCCTACACACAGAAAAACAGCAATACAGTTATCCGAAGAGTCTGCCAAACACCCACACTAAGCACAATGCTAGGCATAAGGGGGTTACATCAATGGCTAAAAGGAATTCTTTTTTTTCTATCTGATTTGGTCAGGGACCTACTCTTCACTTTTCCTCCACAGCCAATTGTTCTGATTCCCCTTCCGCCTGTCTGACAGAACAGCATCCATACAAAGCACCACACCAGCAACCAGAGCAGCAGGAGTAACAGCACAGGGTGAAAGTTTCACACCAAAGCCCAGACCATCAAAAGCCAGGACACCTTTTCAAAGGGACATTTTATCAAACAAGAACAGCCTAAAAATACAGCAAAATAAATTAAAAAGCAGGGGAAAAAATAACAACGGAGGATCCACAGCTATCAGAGTAAACTCCGTGGCAAACAAGCCTAGGGCTGACGACACCACTGCTGGTCTCGGCCAGGAAACCCAGTATAAAACAGATCCTAAAACGCAGCCAACTGTTCCTGCTAAACCACAGTCCCCATGGGAAATGAAAAGTGGGGAAAGCAGCAAGCAAGGGACAAAGGGGCTGGCACTCGCTGCCTTAGGGGCGCTACATGGCACCCGGCGCGCGGGCGGCCCCCAGGGCAGCGCAGGGCTCCGGTCACGGCCCGCGGGACCGGCCGGCGGCAGAGCGGGGCCGGCCGCCCGCGGCAGCTCCCCGGGCGCGATGTGGGAGCCGCGCCACCCCAAACCGTTATCCCGGGGAAAGCGCCGTTTTCCTGGGCTTCACACGCTGCTTTCCGCCCGCCCAGGCCCGCATCCACGCAGGTCTCCCTCCCTGCACTGGAACTGTCACTGCTTCTTGCACCTGCCCCCGCGCCACGAGCTGCGCCGCGTCTCGCCCGCGGTCCGGACCCAGCGGGGCCTCCCGCGGCCGCGGCGGGGCCGAGCGGCGGGGCCGGGCGCCCCGGGGCCCCGGGCCCGGCACTCACCAGCACGGCGCGCTCCGCCGCGCTCGCCATCGCCGCCGCCATGGCCGCCGCGCCGCCCGCCGCCACGCGTGACGTCACCGAGGCGGGAGGAAGAGGGCGTCGCGCCGCAGTGGCTGAGGGGGGGGGAACAGAACTGGTGTCACCCACTTGCGTAGAAAATACTAGAAAATAAAATATTGACAGTAAAAATGAAGAATAAATAGTATTTGTAATAAAATATACACAGGCCACCTTTCACAATCCATCCACAGAAGTGGGTAAATGGCCCCTGCTGTCTCCCCACCATCACCCCAGCAACGCGACCCTGCCTGCAGTCAGCGCCAAGGCCGGCCGGCACCCGGCGAGCGCCGGGCTCGCAGCACAGCAGAGCCTCCACCGCGCCCGGCTGCTGTTCCACACGGACTCGCAGCACAGCGGAGCCTCCGACACGCACCCAGCTCCTGTTCCACACCGGCTCCCAGCACAGCAGAGCCTCCAACACATCCAGCTCCTGTTCCACATGGGCTCCCAGCACAGCCAAGGCTGCGACACACCCGGCTCCTTTCCCACACGGGCTTTGGGACGCTCACAGGACCACCCCTTCCCCACTCAAGGAAAGGGGTCCTGGGCACATTCTTCATTCCAAGCAGCAAAGCAGGAGCTCCCTGTGTGCTGTGAAGCAAAGCACAGCTCTGCTGCAACATCCATCACCTTCCGCTTTGCTTTTGCACAATATTCATTTCCTTTCCATATTGTCCTTCCCTTGAACCAAAGCAGACCATTAACTAACTGCTGTCAGCATGAGCCCCTTAGGGGGAAGAATCAGTACATTCAAATTGCCATGAACAGTGTACTGCTACTTGACTGTAAATATTGCCTGGTTCTTCAGAGAGCTCTACTACAGTTTTTGCAAACTCTTAAGAGATCCTGTTTTCCCATCATTGGAAAACACCACTCACTGCAGAGCCTATAGAAGCGCTGGTGTCTCCCAAAACCCCATGTGCTAGAAGAAAGGGGAGTCCTCACAGTGATGAGTCTGCTGGGCTCCCAACAGCCAGTCAATGAGACAAGCTCAATTTCTAATCACCAGGAAGATAACGAGCTGACATACCTCGTTGTGCTTCACTCCCAGCTTCATCTTCCCCTGGGTCCAAAGCAGAGGGCCCTGCTGTGCGCGGGAGACAGAGTTTATCCAAGCCCATCCTTAGCAGAGCCTCCCTTGCAAGATCAGGCTGCTTCCAATACGAGGATGCTGCACGAGGTGGGCTGCTGCTTTTCAGCTCCAATTTTGAAAGGGCGAGAAGCACACACATTATTTTTTAAAGCTATCATGGGTTTGAGGGGCTCCAGAAACTGCCACAAGAACATGGTGTTACCAAGAAAGGTTTTATTTTTTTTTTCCTTGCCAGTAGCTTTGTTAATTGCACAAAAATCATTTTGTTTTGCCATTTAAACATTTTCACACATCCTATTCTGAATGACGTTAATTAAAAACAAGGCAAAAAATAAAAATTCACAACCTTAATTAACTATAGGATCTATCATTTAGGGAAAAAAAAAGAAACTGCTTTTCTTACAAGCTTTTCACAAGTGTCACATTTTCTCTTTAAAAAGGAGGGAGTTGAAAAAAGAGCAAATTGCTAAAACAGAAATCCTCATAAAAAGGAACTTTACAGAACTGTCAACAATATTAAGACGACATTGACTAGCCAGTTTTATTAGAGCATCTCTCAATCCACAGCTTCCCTCCCACCCTTTCCCTCCCCCAGATCTCAGGCCTAGGAACAGAATAAGATCCATGTTCAGAGGCTACAGAAATAAATATAAGAATCCAAGCGAGACTGACAGTTCAGTCAATCTCAAATAGCATCTGAAACAGTCCGATTTTCAGCATTTCCACCCCTCCTCCTCACTTTGCTGAGCTCTCGGTCTCTCTCTGCTCCCTGGGGTGTCTTTAACTGTGCAGCCACCAGGCAGCACCACCCTCTCCAGCCCATCTCCATCCACCTACCTGGCCAGAAAGCTGCAGTCCGGCTCCTACACCATAAATTACAGGTCTGAGCTGCTCTGTGCATGCCACAGGCCCAACTGTCTCCGTTTTGAGGGCTACGAGATTTCTGGAAAATAAAACCTGCAGTGCCAGGATGCCTGGGGAGGGTCCTGCCCCTCACATACACGATTCCTGGGATTCACTATGAAATATGTGTCATAAGACTTGGAGCTCCTCTTTTACACCTACCGTTGGCAGAGGCACCAGGGCTAACAGAGGGAGATCCTTGACTGCGTGGGCTCAGACCCAGCCACGTCCCAGCCATTCCGGGCGGCTTCTGCAGGGACTGTGCCCTGACTCCGCACAGCTCCGCTCCTCCAGCTGGGCCTGAGACAGGATCTCCCTCCCCACTGACTTCTCCTCCCCCAAAATCTCTTACACAGCAAAACCCGTGGTCTCCTCTCCTCTCCTGTCCCCAAAATCACAATTTCCCCCTGATGCCCTCACTATGCAATCGCATGATTTCTTAACCGCAGTGTTTTTAACCAGGGATTTCCAATGCTAATTGATGAGTTCTGCTGGAAAGGGGAAAGCATAAGTATGGCAAAAGCAGGCTAAATGGCTGGTTATCCTGGGTAGTTACATGTACTTTAATATGAATATCTACATGCAGGATGACAGTTGTACTGCCAAAGAAACGTGTATGTTTAACTAATATTGTCCACATATACCACTGACAAACAGGCAAAGTGATGTGTAACAAATCTATTACTAGATGTTCACCACAGGACATAATGCATAATACACTATTAGCCCACAAATAATAGTGACCAGCGGAGATGAAATATTCAACACAACGTAACATTTACAGCATTAGGAATTAGATATCATGTTCCATACGGGGTATCTGATTAACTTCCTCTGCTTCTTAATGAGGTGCCCCTGAGCGTTGCCCAAAGCAGATTGTCAAGAAGTCTTGAGCCACAGGAAAGGTTCCCTAAACAGCCATGAAGTGCCCAGAAACAAAACAGCAGGAGGAGCAGCCCTCGAGGCTTTCAAAGAACATGGCCTACTTGGAATTTGCTTTTTTTCCTTCAGAATCCCAACCCAAGGGAGGAGATTGTGTCACCAAGAGGTGATCTGGGCCAATAAAGCTTCTTACCGGCGTTTTACTAACCCTCAAATCTAAAATGCAAAGACTAATACTGAAAGAGTTAAAAACCCCATGCTTGATGTGTTTTTAGAGACAGGCATCCTTTGGACTCCGTTGCTCTGTCAACATGGGCAGCTTCTCTGCTCTTAAGCACTGGCTATCTGCAGCTCAATTCCTGTTTTTCTAGGCTAGAGCTCAGCAGAAGTCTTAGCTCCCATTTTATTTACCAGCCTTTCTAGAAGTTGTATCTGGGTACAAGCAGAGTCACGAGTACAGGGAAAATTTTCATGTTGCACTAGTGTCGTACTCAGAGCAGTAACATAAGGGACATGTATGGAAAATCTGACATGTACAAAGATCACTAATCAGTACACATAATACTCCTCTGAGGTAGGTAATTATCACCCGCCTTTAAAGATGGGGAAACAGGCTAAGAGATAAAAAGACCATGCAAAGGCCAGAGAGGGAGCCTGGATTGGAGCTCAAACTCTGGGCTCTACAATCACTCCTCTTACTCCTTTTAGACTCATCACCCTGCTTGTGACACCGCTACACTCCAAGAAGCCTTTGTAAATATTGACTACCAGGGTATTTTTAAAAAAATAAAAATAAAAAGCAAGAAGGAAATTAACATAAACTAAGGCCAAGAGCAACCTTAAGGTTCATTCCTTCACCAAGCAAAATACCTCTGGCCTCGTTTTAAGCTGTACACTATTCTTGCAGTATTCTAGGCAAACATGCTACTCTCCAATACTGCTTTTGTGGGATGGGCAGCTGTGATGAACTTTTTGGGAGGCTACGTTTACACTGGCGTTCTCTCATTTTCACTAAGGTCTGTGTTCCCTAAGCTAAAGTTGTCTGTACAGGGGAAGACATGGATGCAATCAGTTCTTCCCGTCAGTATGAGGGAATTCCTCCATCAAGGTGCCAGGGAGGTGGAAGTTTAAAAAGGAAACAGAATCAAGACAGCATTGCATGCAACCCCAATATTACCTTCTGGAACTGCCCTTCTCCTCCATGGGAGGTGCTTTGTTCTCTAACAGTGGGTGATGAACAGGAATGCTCCTCACCTTAATTGAGACCAAGGCTTTTACTGATATTCACAGGTAGATGGGACATATGTCACCTGTCCCCTTGATGCAGAGAGTCCAACACACACATTATTTCACAGCAAAGGAGGAAAGGAATCATTAGAAACAGCATCTTGGACAAGCATACAAAGAGGAAAACAAAAGCAGCCAAGCAGCAGATTTCTGGCAGAGTTGCCTCAGAGCTTCTGAACAAGCCGCCACTGTCCTGTTCCATGACTGTCAGTGCATGGCATGGATTTTCTAACCAGACTGCAACAATCCGAGCCCCCTCCTCCCCCCCTTTGGCCACCAGGGGAAGGCTCACCGCAGCAGCTGCCTTCGCGGCAGATCTCAAAGTCTGTGTATAAAAGGAAATGGAGAGACAGAGATGGACTGGTCCAGAGTTAAAACCCAGTATCATAATAATATTAATCAATAATCATAGTATTAACAGTAAGAACGGTGCAGCCTAGTGGATGTAGGCCCTGTACACTGCAGACATATCGTTGTCCGACTGGTCCAATGCTTTTGCTCGTTTATAGACCTGGAGAAGAGAAATTGGAAAAGGATCAGCCACTGCGCTCATGGGGAGACTCTCTGGCACAAATTATTTTTCAGACCATTGCAAAACAGAGAACTGTATAGTATCCAAGTAATTAGAACAGCACAGATCAGAACATGCTAGGCCTTGTTTAGGCCATCTGCGTTTACTGAAGGTGACATTTTAGAGGGCTTCCACAAGCACATCAATTCCCTTCCCTCCTACTCAGAATATATTTCAGTCCCTGTTCCCACGTCTCAGAGACTAGGCCGCTCTTCAATTTTGTCTCTTGTTGGAAAGTGGCTCTCTACCTCTGCCCACTGAGCAAACACTGAGTGACACACACCTCAACGCTGACTCACCTCATTGGCTGCAGCTGCCATGGGAGTTGGGTGGTTGACAGAATCCCCCAATGCAATAGCTAATCTAAGATCCTTCTGGATGTATTTCAGGTAGAAATCGGGTTTAAAGTTTCCTTGCAAGATATCTGCAAGAGAGAAGGGGGTGCAAAAAGCATGATAAAAGTAAATCAAGCCTAACACTGGAACAGCATGCAAAGCACCACCAAACTTCCCTTTCCCACCGGGAACACCAGGAATGCTGCTTTTAGCTCTTCTATTTCTCTGTTGTCTTCACCCAGCTATGGCAGATAATGTCACTATCACCCTGTGACAAAGTGGGCTTAGTTTTCTAAGGAGCTTGCCCTCCTCCATTTCACTCACTACCCTGCCCCACTGTCAACTCAAATACTCAGCCTGCTGGAAGCAATGCAGAGCTTGAGGTCTTAGATTCTCAGAAGCTCTGACTGTAAATGGGGAGGAAGGGAACTGAGCTCTTAATTTCCAGAATGCTTAAAATACCCAGAATCTCAGGCTGATAAAAATGGGATGGTTACCTTCTCCCTTCTACCATTAACTGAACTACTCCCTAGGTTGTAGCAAATGTTTGTATAATAAAACAACGTAAGAGAACTTTACTTTGGCACTTCTGGTCCAGGAAGATGCTGGCAAGTTGTCCCTGATTGAGGATATCCAGAAGAGTCTGTTGGGACTGACCAGTTACTTGAGCCAGAGTCAGTCCTTCTGCTATCGTAGCCATGAAACTGCCTTGGACCATGTTCACAATAAGCATCATCTTCGCAGCATTGCCTACTTCACCTGTGAGTGAGAGACACCTTGGGGCATTTCTCCAGAAGAAATACAGCAGCCCTGCTCCCCCATCCCACACAGCATTTGCACTACTAGGCTCAGCATATTGTTCTCAAGCACTTGGTAGCTCTCTCCCAGAAGACTTCAGAAACCTTACTCATTTTTCCAAGCAGCTAAGGGAAGGGAGAAACCACAACTAAGTATGATTTAGAATAAAAAGTTTCACAGAAATCTCCCAAAATAGCCAGTATTTTAAAAAGAAAACGTAGGGTAGAGGATCTGAGGTTAGTCAAACACCAGAAGTGCAGGCCAGTTTCCCATACTGCCTATGGAGACAGGAGGTGGCCAGTCCCTCTTACCAGTGGCCTACAAAGATTACATGTGTACCTCTCAGACTCCTTTCTGGACATCCCAGTTTTGTACTAAGAAACTGCTAACAGATCCCTGGTGTTTCAATTACCTAGAAAAAAAGAGGTCTTGCCCATCGCTTGGAAACAGCTACTGCAGTCCTCATATAACCCCCTGTCACCAGCTGCCAGGATCACGAGCATCCCATCATTAGACAGCTGCTGGTTTCCTGAGACTGGTGCCTCCAAGAAGCGGCCGCCCCGGGAAACTATCACCTGAAAAAAGAATCTCTCTGATGAGCTGTGCATAAACACCAAGCACTCATGCTAAGCAGTCAGCACAGCAAGTAAGAACATCATTTAGGGAATTGCTATTGCTAAGGACAACATTTTAAAGCAAAGAGACAAATTTTAAAGCAAAGAGTTCAAATACAAATAGGAGAGTGAAGCACTGTGAAATACCTAATACATAATGTACTGCATCCAGCAAAGGAAAACTCCAGATCAAAAGCTGCTCTCACTTTCCAGAACACCAGTACTTCTCTGCCCCCCACCATTACTGTACATATTTTCAGCAGCTGAACCTATATACTTTTGCCCCTGCAAATAGCCAAGGAATACAACACTAAAGATGTGCAAGCAGCACACGAGTCTCAGAGTTACTTTTTAATTATCTTGCTCCCCTTCTCTGTGGATAAAAGGCCTCTGAGACACCTCTTCAGCCAGAGCTTTACTAACAGACATGACTCTACATTCTCCAAATTCATATGTTAGACACTCCTGCATCACAAAATTAACAGCCCTACCCATTCCCCCACAATACGTACTGTTTTTAGGGCACAGAAAAGCAATCAAGGTGCCAAAGAAGAAATCTAAGAGTTCCCTGTCAGAAGCACTCAAAGAAATTTTACAGAAAAATACAGAAATATAAAAATAGAGAAATCTTCTCATAAAAATACTTCTACAGAATGAAACATAAACACACTCATTTCCCACAACTAAAATGTTCAAAATAAACAGAATATGCATTTTATCAATTTAAGACAATTATTCATCCAGACAGTACTTCCTCCTCCTATTTGCTACAGAGTACTGGTGTGGCTATACACTTCTCAAGGGAATAGAGTTTCACTGGCTGCTTACACTGGTGCCAGATGACACTTCTGAGAAGTCTACCAGCTTTGCTGTTACCATCAAAGTATTTATTATTGAGTTCTGTTCACTGGACAAGTTTTGACAATTTATTTTGTTTCATTCGCCTGGGACTTGAGTTCTTCTAAAAGAATCCTGAACATCTTGAGACATCTGTATTAATCAACAGTTAATTGCCTTGAACAACAAGAACTGCAATGTTGCTGTTAGATCACAAATGTTACACGTTTGGTCCAATATTATTACCTGGGCCAGCTCCGTGACCGTATCTGCATCCACAGTGGACATATCCACATAACACTTCCCTGGGCGAATCCCCTGCAACACTCCACTCGGACCCAGTACCAGCTGTGGGGAACAGAAGAGCGGTAAAGCAATAGGGTGTCTGCAAAGAAACTCCAGTCCTACAGGGCAACAGTTCAAGCAAGCCTGACACTGCAGTGATTAACTCCTAGAGTGATATCAAAACTTTCCCCTCAAGTATTATTTCAAACAAGCGGGATTTGAGGGGAGTAAAGGAAGAGGAGGGTTATTTTTACTCAGGTGCATTGCTCAGCATCCAAATGGTCCAGCCTACCACGGTCAGTAGGACAAGAAGGGGCATTCAGTGGTTGTATGTTACAATCTGTCTAGCAGGGGAAAAATAAGAGCTAATCCTTACATCCTTTGCTGCCTTGGGATCTGATACACAGGCAAAGGTGATGTCACAGGTGGAGACAACTTCAGCAGGGGTTCTTCCCAGCCGTGCCCCCTCCTGGATGAACAAATCACACTGCAAAATTCATAAATCCAAACGTAAGGAAAACAATGTACAGAGCAAATGGGTTCCCTAGTGTTTTTGCTGTAACAGAAACTCTTCTGGCTGGACGCAAAGTGAGTCAGGCCTGGCATATTAACTATGCAATAAATGGATTTTTTGGCTTGCATCGCCCTCTCCACCCCAAAAAACCCAAGGTCTCCTTTGCCACTTTTCTGAATCTCTACGTGAAGAACTTTGAGAGAAAAAGAGATGGTTATGCAGGAGAAGTCATAAGAGATTGAATACCATAATTTTTGGAGAAAAGATGAGAAAAAAGGTGGTAAACAGACATAGCAAAACATGTTGCTGGACAATAAACATGAACAACCAAGAGTGGTATGGGTTAGAGAGTGGTTGGCAGCTCTCTGCTCTCATACAAAAGGGCAGCAACATGGTGACTTTTCACCTTTTCAGGACAGACCACAGATTCATCTAGTCAAGTGTGGCCATCAACAAACACTTAGCAAAGTATATTAGAACAAAATGAGCTTTGTTTTTGTCTTGTGGACAAGGCAAGCTCTGCACTTTTCCAGTATCCTCTCCCAGGGAATACTGACTCAAGGCCTTCCTGAGCTTGAGGTGGTGTATACACAGTTAAAACGTGCTGGATATGTGTTTAGAAAGGCATTGTCTATCCTCAGCTAGACCACATGCTTACCTTCTCAGCAGTCCGGTTCCAGACAGTGACAGTGTGACCCATTTTCAGCAAGTTGGAGACAATGCCACTTCCCATCAGGCCAAGGCCCAGAAATCCTATCCTGGGGGGAAAGAGATAAGCATCAAGGCAGGAAAGGGAATGTGTAACGGAAAGCAACTGATGTCAGCCTCATGGTCCTGAAATGATGAAGAGCAAATCCTGGAATATCACAAGCAAAACCACAAACTGTACTGCAGTCACAGCTAGAGTAGGAGAATTTTTAAACCACTCTTTTCTAACGGGCAGATATTAGGCTTTAAGAAAAAGATCGTACTTATTTTGCTTATGAAATATCCATAAAAGTTTTCTGAAGAAAGTGTCCTAGTCTGTTTTAAAAGGCTAGTGAAAGAATAAAGGTTTGGGTTTTTTTTTTCTAAATGAAAACTGTGCTTTGTACTTCCTTTTGTCAGCCAGTCTTACTCAAGAGATAAAGGTAACATTTGGAGATCAGCAGATGCTTCCCAAATATATCTTCTGATTTTTATACTGAGTCATGGGTACAACGGTTGTTTATGCTGCCAAATAGTACATTACTACTTTTATTTTTATAAAGCCCGGCACAGACTACTGGGATAAGCACCACACACACACCTAGTCCCTGCACCACAGACTTGACTGTGAACAGACAGAGAAATAAAGGAAATAATAGGCCTGTACAGGTCAGCATGAGAGACAATAATATCAGATATCAGCTGCTCAAGAGTTGGTTACGGTTTTGTACTCGTGGTTTTTGTTTGTTTTTTTAAGAAAAAAAGGCAAAAAAACCCCATCCCTCCCCATTCCTTCCCTATAATCACCCTGGAAGGGGAACTGCTTTGCAGTCACAACTGCAGGGATTGTTATACATCATACAATAGCAAAAAGAAAAAAAAAAAAGAAAAAAAAAAAATCTAGCAGGAAACGTGCTCAGCTACACGTCTGAGTTTACAACGAAAGTTGCTTTGCAATCCCCACGGTTAATTCTCAAGAATCAGCCGCACTACAGAACTGGGGCTTCAACAAGCTGCCTGCGCTCCAACTTGCAGCAACGTTATGCTCTATTTTGTTAAAACAAACCAGGCAGGTTAGAGCAAGACACTACAGCTCCGCAAGCGCGGTCCGCCTATTTGCTACTCTATCCAACAGAAGCGATGTTTTTTTCTACTCCAACCCACCTCTGAACCACACTTCACTGAGAGACTGTTTTACCTGAATAGCTTCATTGTTATTTTGGCTCTCCGTGAGCACAGCTGAGAATTCGCGTGCCAAGAAAACGACCCTAACGGCAACCAGGCCACGGCCTGAGCTGAATTTGAACCGAGCGGAAGTTAGAGAGTGAAACAGGAAGCTCAACTGAGGCTTCTCTCACTCTAGAAAGGAGAAGGGGGACGTTAAAAGAAACCAGAAGGTTTACACGTTACGCAGCAAAGCTCCCGCGCTGGGAGAACACGCCTCCCTCTTCCTCATCTTCTACATGCTCAAGATAGCAATTAAACAACCCCAGTCAACTGCCAGACACCAGTGGAAAGAAGATACCCTTTTATCTCTGCGCTTCATACGGCATTCAGAAATGCTGCTCCTTCACGTTCTGCAACATGCCCTACAGGAACAGGGCAGCTGCAGGAAAGCCCTCAACTGCAAATGCATCCGGTGCAGACATCAGGAATGTTTCTAGAACACAGCACCTGTTTGTATCTATTTGCCTCCCTCCTCCCATCCAAATCAGTTTCACACAAGGACATAGGAGATCAGCAGTTAGAGAGAAACATTAGGTTTATTTATTCACAGTGACAAACTGGATAATGGCTGCATGTGTGAGATGGGAAGGAGGAAAAGGAAGGAAAATGGCTGAAGTGCGTTGGAGGTCTTACTTTTTGTCTGTAGGCGTGATACTGCCGTTGACTGCTGTGCTGTCTGCTGCCTGGATGGAGGTGGATCCTGTTTCCTGAAAAAAAAAAGACAACTGTACAGTTCTGGAGGAACTGCAAGTCATTATAATATTAATAAAAATCCAAAGCTAAGATTTGCCTTACCTCTTCACAAACCTTCAACTTCTTTGTGATTGCTTGATAGCAGACAGCCGGCTGTATGGAGAGGACAAAACATTCAGGGGAAGGATGGTGCTGATTTGCTCCACTGAGCAAAAAGACCATATCCCTGCTACAGAGGAAACAGGCAGCTCACCCACACACCACCATCTGCAAAGCAGGAAAACTCTCAGGCTTTCCTCAGTGAGAGAAAATAAAAACAGAAACCTATTGCAAGGTAAAACCCTTTTCCCTTTCTACCCCCCACTGCAGCACTTCAGCCTCTCTTCAGATGCAGGTACTTAAAACGTCTCCTGCAGTTCACAGAGCAGACTCCTGTAGAGGCAAGGGGCCAGGGCATCCCCAGTCTCGCATTTGGCCCAGAGAAACAGGGAACCCTGAAGTCTACCATAGAGCAACCTCATACTTTTGCTCAGCATGTCACTGCAGTTGCAGAAACAAGGCCTTTTTGTTAGTACAAGAAGGCACAGGGCTTTCCACAAGACGTATGATAAACACTGCTCCTCCCCCATGTTGCTTGTTGTGAGGTCATGTAGATTAAGCCTGACAGCCCCATCAGAATTTACAGTTAGCTGCTCTTAATCCTTGTGGCTTTACCCAGATCCCCTGCTAGATACAAATCCTATTTCACTTAACTTGATCTCTTTTCCTCTGGATCTTCACTGGCTGAAGATAAAATCCTGAAAGACTTCTGACTTTTGTGGTATGAATTGACTGTATTTTACATGGAACTTTACTGGCCCTGTGAAACCCTTGCGCCAGATTCAATTAACAAATTCATTCTAATGAAAAATGGAAAGACAACTGCACAAGACCAGCAGAGAAACAGGGCTTTTAAAAATGAACATGTATTTTCTTATTTCTCATATACCATGTACAGAATTTACTATCACAGGTCTATCAAATCCTACTGCTATATAACTTGCAATGACAAACTATTTGTTGTCCTCAATGCTAAGTTATTCTCAACCTCAAGGTTAGAAACTAATTAAACTACAGGATTGCATGTGAATCTTGTTTCCTCTTGTCCCAGAATTGTTCAACTGGTTACACACACTCCTTGTACAGCCATAGCTTTCAGCCACAGCAAAAGGCAGGATGCCAGGCTAGATGGACCAGCAGCATGATCCTGTCTGCCAAATCCTCACCTTCTCTGTCTGGCTCAGCAGGAAGTGATGGAAGTGTGGGTCACTGTCCTTCACGGGCTACAGAGAGAAAAGTACAGGCTCAGAAACATTCCCAGAGAATCACAGAGCATGCACAACTACTCTCAAAATCGTTTAAGCCGGAAATATTCAGTATAGGAGAGCTTATCAAGCAGCCTGTTTCAACTTAGCAGTTCATGTGGTGTTTTGTTCTCAAAAATAAGGTTGTTGACAACTAGTCATTGAAAACAAGACAACAAAGTCAATTCCCCCATTTATAGGCATCTACAGAACAAACAAAGAAGATCATAAACAAGATGAGGAAGGGGAGGAAGAGATATCTCTCCCTCTGATCAAGCTATTTACTGGTGCAGTCACAACTACATCACTGGAATATCATGTCTTTCTCCTTTTCCCAAGGAGAGGAAAACACCTCATTTTCCAGCTCCCTAGGAATTTCTTAAAGCAACATTCTGAGAGATGGCTGGAGGTTAATGCTAGCACTGTCTGATGTCTGGCAAACACCCACATTCACAGCAACAAGGACTGGAGTCCATCTCAAAGAACATCCTAAGCATCAGCCTGGAGTCACAATACTCTTACTCTTAGTGATTAAGGCTTTTTTATTTACAAAAGGAAAGGTTTCCAGCAGCTGGTTATGAGGAAAATTGTTAACTTCCCAACACTACACCGTCTAGAAACTCTTTCACTGTTGCTCAGGTGAATGGCCTTAGCTCCACCTCTGATTTTGGGAAGCCAAATACTTTTGAAACAATAGCAAAAAATGCAGAAACAAGTCCAGGAAGTTATATGAATCCACAAATGGTTCCACAACGACTGAAACCTCACTTCTGAGCATACTTACCAGTTGCTCAGGATATTGTCTTTGCACAGAACTTAACAGCATCTTATTTTATTCCCAAAGGAGCAAGAGAAGCTCCTGCCATTTTACAGTCCAGTCAAAAGGTTCTAAACAAACTCCCCCATGATATCTGTTTCTGCACCAACCCTAGCTCCCAGATCTTCTCTGCAAACCCAGAGCTTCTCACCTCACTGACACTTGGTGGCCATTTGAATCCAGCCACTGTTCCAGTCATCACTCTCTTCACTGTACTTGACTCTGGAATTGTGAGGTCCTAAAGAGAAACAAGGAGGATCAGAAAGAGCTTAAAATCTGGCTCTACGGTTGGCCACACCATGTTGATCCTAACAACACACACACACACAGAGTTTTGAAACACACTACAAATGCCTTCTACTTCATGTGCCACCTCACGATGAAGTCATATGTGAGCACACAGTGCATTATCTGCACAGAGGAGATGAACGTGAACCTGCAACAAAAGAATTTAACCACCGATATGGCCTCCATTCTTCATGTGCAAGAGGAACTACTGAATTTGTGTAACCGTGCAGTGAGCAGAGAAGCAAAGGAACCTGACTCATCCAGCAATTCCCTCTGGTAGATGCATAAAACTAAACAAAGGGGGTCAAGAACATCACTACAAACAGACATCTCAGCTTTTCTAGATCACCACCATTAGAGTGTGTGTATGCACATGTGTGTAAAATAGCAACCTGTTAGAGGGAAAACCTTTAACATATGAATCTGATAGTCACATCAGCTCAAATTAGAACATAAGCAATAGGGACTGAAATGAGAACTGCCCCCCATTCACTCAAAAGGCACTACTTTGTAATGCCAAGATAATATAATACTTAATGAACCACTGTGTTACTGTTGAGCAGATCAGAATTTATCTTTAAAATAAATCATTATCACTCTCTGAAGGAACTGTGCAGGATTCCTACATGGCAGGTTTTACCGTCCCGAATTGAGTTCAGAAATGGAATCACATTCTCTCCCCTCCAAAATTACTTCCTGCAAATGCACAATATGCTTCAACACAAAGCCAGATGACAAGAACACTATTTGCCAAAAAGGGAAGATTGGCACAGTGAGAAGTGACCCGGGTTAATGCCACTGTTTCATCTGTTGTCAGGGCAATCTAGACATCACTTTCCAACATTAAAATACTACTACAGTCTAGAGCAAAGTTTGCATTTTAGAATTCTCTCTCTAGAACCCATGCTGTTGTTTCAGTTGGTGAAGTGTGGATGAAATCTCCTCTGATATATGCAAAGCCATGCTGCTCCTTTGAAAATATTCACATAAGCTTAGAAGTGAGCTATCTGAATCATCGTGTATGCCTGCCATGCATATCTCGACATGGCAACACCTCAGCAATGACTGGATCCTTGAATTCTTTGCATCCCTATTACTCAGAAAGCCAGAACTGTGCTGGAAGAAGAAAAATATCTATCTATATGTACACCAAACAGTGCAATAATTCCAGACAATGATGTCAAAGGCTTCTATTCTTCTACCGCGAAGGCTAAGAATTTGAGTAAATTGTGAGAACCAAGCAAGTGTAAGAAAAGGTTTTAAAGCTATTTTCACTGAATAATAGCATAGCACTATCATATTTTCATGATGATTTCTCTAATTGTCTGTATATTATCTTTCCAGAAGCAACAAGGTTATCTTCATACATTAGCCTACTTAATTTCCACGGTTTGTGAACAGACATTTATCACCTGTCTTGCGCTTTGCACCTCTTTATGATAAGCTGTTTGAATCCACACCACTTGCAATTTGCCAGTAAAATAATTTCTACTGCCACAATTAACTCACTCTAACCTCTCTGATGCTGCAAGGTAGCTAATGCAGCAAGACTAAGCATGCAAGGTGTCATCACAGATCAGAATTCTTCTAGCCATTCTTCTAGCTTAGAGACACAAAAGCATCTTGCATCAGAAAATAAAAGGCCTAGTGGATTCTCAAAACAGATGTATGACAGCACAATATGATTACAGCAACACACTTGAAAAGGGCAAAATAAATTCATAATAAAGTGTTTTCCTGCATCAGTCAAGTCACAAGGTTCGCAATTATTGGCAAGAATCCCTAAGTATGCATCCATTCCTTCCCTTCCCTTTCCCTCTCCAAAAGGAGAAAGTGATGTGCTCTGTGTGGCCTGATTTCATAGAAGCTGCTTTCAAAAAATAAGACAGATGAGAATGAAGCCTCAGAATCAATACCTAAGCTAAACATTTTCTACCAGCAGTTCCTTCATATCTAGTATCTGGGATAATCAGATTCCTTTTACTCGCAAGGCATCAAGAAACAGGCTGCAGTTCAGCAAGTCAAGGCCAATCCATTCATGATTTTGGAGATCAAAGACTACCATCTTATGCTGCATCCTGAAGTGCACTGAAAGCAAAGCCCGTGAAGCACACATATAATGTGATCCCTCTGAAGCATTGCTGAGCAAGCAGGCTGCCGCATCCCGTATCAGTTGAAGTCTCACAACGGTCTTCTGCTGGAGTCTGATGAGCAGGTGCATTGCAAAAATCCACTGAAATAATTATCCATTCAGAAAAGAAAGATCTGGACCACTGCAGTGAGGTCCACAATGAAAATGAAATGCTGGAATCCTAGATGAGAGTAGACAAAGCACTGATGACTGCTGTTGCTGCCAAGACACCCAGAAATAATGGGAATAAAACTAAAATGCTCAGATGTTAGATCTTTTTCAAGGATGCTGATAATATACTCAATAGCACAGATGCTGAAATAAATGCAAATAATTCTTCTTGTGGATTCCCCAGGCTGCAAGAATTTCTTCTTTTAGCATCAGCCATTAAGCACACCTCACTCTCAGTAAGTATTGAGGGTGAAATTAAATGAACATAAATCAGTTAACCGTACAAAGCAGATGAGATGGGGGAAGTCAGGAATCAGAAGAAGGCCCACATCTCCTCACTAATTCTTTCCACGCAAGCTTAACTTGAAGGATGGCAAGATGGAAGGTGGAGTCTCATGAGAAAGTTCTCAAAGCTCTTTCAAAGAGATGAACAGAGCTACTCAGAATGACTAACTTAAAAATCCACAGGAAGAATCAACAATATGCTTGCCAAAAGTATCTGACAGCCAACATGTTTAGAAGCAGCAACATGGAACAGCTTTTAAAAAAATAAATAAAACTGAGACTGCATTCTTCCTGCTGGCCTGTTAGCCAAGGTGCCAGTCATCCCTAGAGTCCATCTGTAAAGTCCACAGGGCACTGGCGGACATGCACAACACAAACCTTCTCATCCTTGGGTGGACGCCCCCGCTTTCGGGGGCTCTGATCCTGGGCTCTTTTCAAAGGTGACTTTGATCCTCTCTCTGACGATACAGAAGAGACCCTCTTTTTTCCTTCCCCTGTGCCCTTCTTCAACTTCCCTTCAGACAAACTGGCTTTGCGCTTCTCTTCACCAGCAGATTGCTTGCCTCTTTCTTCACTGGAATTACGACGATTCTTCTCTTCACTGGAGTTATGGGAAGACGCCTGAGAGATTACAGAATAGAAGATGGTGAGGAAAGAAGAGAAGAGCTTGAATGATTTTCATGCAAAACCAAGGATGTGAAGAACCGTGTGCTGATTACTATCAGGCAAACCATCTGCACAGTAACATGAAAACTATTGTATGTTAGCCCTTTGAAGTCGGTGAATGAAGATCCTGGTTAGCTCCTCTGCAAAAAAGCATCAATTTAAGCAACTAATTAGCAGAACAGGCCACTCGAAGACTCACTAAGAGGGTGTGTACTTGCATGCGCTTCCAGCATACTACAGGCAAGATTAGGAGATACCAAATTCTAGCCCAAGACTTAAGACTGATTTAATAAAACATCATAAACTGATCAGTTTCTCCAAGAACATACTTTTTCTACAAACAAGACTGAATAGCAAGGGAGAAGACAGGAAAAAAAAAAAAAAAAACCCACCACACTCACAACAAAGCACATCCAACTTGCCAGAAAAAAAAAGTCAATTTATTTCAAATAAAAATATGATTAATCATTACTCATGCCACAACTTGTTTTGATGCAGACAGTAAATCAGAATCCACTCACCTGGTCCTTGCCTTTGGTTTTTCTAAGAAACTCCTCTACAGCATCCACGGCTTGCTGGAAGCGCTTACCCTTGTTAATCTTTATCATTTCTTCTTTGTGTGCGTGATAAGGCTTCAGCTGCTCCACTTTGATCCAAGCACTGGAAACCAGGAAAAAAAGTTAAGTATATTCTCCAGACAGTAACTTACTTAACCATCCCTCTTCAACAGATACAGAAATACCTATTTTTTTTTCCACAGATCCAATGATGATATCAACCCAAACTCACTTACTTTCTATAACCTGAAGGGCTGTGACATCTGCATCCACCAAGAACTTTCTTCTGGCACTTTCACTTGGTTTCTTCCTCCAGTTTTATGCCCCCCTGTATAAGCAACGCTCTCCTCTAAGCATTATTCATATGACCTGTCAGCAACCTAGCTTTTGGATATGATCACACGCACTTGTTCAAAGCAAAGGCTCAGAGAGACTGTATTATCAAGAGAATAAACACCATCAAGTGACTCCACATAAAGTAGCTACTAATATTAATCTTCTTCCTAAGCCTGTTGTAAGAATAGGTCACTTGATACTAACCAACCATATTAGTTCAAGAACATTGTATATACACAAGTAGCTGCAAAAAACAGGAAGAGTAAATACAAAATTAGATACCTAATAACGCAGCTGACCACAAATAAAATGAGCACAAACATCATACCTCACTGCATACGTAGTGTGTTTACGATACATGCTGACATTCTGTATGAAAGCAAATTTCATTTTTAAGAAGCACTTTTCTCCATTGTGGATATCTGATTTAAGATAAACTAGTACTACTGTATTTCGTAATTTAGCAGTAGCAGGGAATGCACTTGAGTTGTATGAGGAAACTCAAACAACATCACTGTTTTCACTGTTTCTTCACTGCTGCTTCAAAGGGCTTCTTGACTTCTACCAAACGGATAAGCTCTCAACCACAGGGTCACAACTTCACTTTCTGCCTGGAGGGCACCCTGTGCCACATGCTCTAGGTGTCCCTGCTGGATCAGATGCTGGATCATCTGTTAGACTAGATGATCTCTAGAGGTTCCTTCCAATCTTAACCATTCCATGATTCTGTATCAGGTTGAGAAGTTCTACCACTCTTTCCTCTTTGCTTTTAACATTCCCTGTCAAAGAGTTTAGGCTACCTTAATCTCTAACCAAGTTCAAGCCCAGGTTCTTCTGCCACTGTTATAAAACTATTTCTGCCCCCACTATGGAAAACAGTCCTGTATAAGCTTTAGAAGAAATTTTCTGAGCTCGGCGAGCCAACAGTGCTTCTCAGCACACAGCAGCACAGAGCACAGTATAAGCCAGCTGAACTGTTTTCACCTGATTCCAAAACATCACTGTTTTACAAAGTGAACATGTTAAATATTTTTCTGAGATTTCAATTTCTAAATAAAAATAACCTCCTTTCTACCAAGGCATTCTGTTAAGGGTTTTTTTTCTTCTTCTCTCCAGTCTGCATGTCTTATCCCTCCTCCTTGCATGTGTCCATTAATTCCCTTTCCCATTACTTCTCCTTTGGGATAGAGAAAGGCTGAAACACAAAGCTTTCTCACTCCCAGCTTAAAGGTAAGCTTTGGTGCTTAGGATCACCAAGGAATAAAAGTTAGAGCTCAGAGACAAAATAACATGTGAAAACTGAATCTCAAATACTGCCTCAGAAAAAAATATATATGTCCATGTATGTATGTATGCATCCCTCAGCCCCTTCTTTTCCTATATATCCTGTGTCATCTACCCATACTACTTCCTACAAGACAGAAACATGTCTTTTGACAGTGAGTGCCCATAAAGCATTTTCATGTAATTTTCTGGTTCTTGAAACGTTAATGAACATCCCAAAGCCATTTATGTTTATACTGAAGATCTCTCCGTTGAGCAATAACCTCACAGCCAAAGAGCAATATTTAGATAAGAGGTCTCGAAGACACAACAGAAACAGGAACTACTATTTCTCTCCTGTCTCAACAACGAATTAATGCCCTAGAAAAGCACTGGTGATATTACATTACTGAAGAGCTTGCATTTAAGATGAGATTGCATTGATACTGCTGCACAGAGTTATCTAATATCCATAAAGAAAGGCTGAATTGGAAAGTGAAAAGAGAACTACTAAAAGGACATGTTCTATTAACGGTTCTATTTGTCCATTTTCCCTCATCCTCCATTTTTCCTCTAAAATGACATTCATTCAAAACCACAACTCACAGTAAAACCCATGTTCTACTCATGAGCAATAAACATTCAGAGATGTAGCTAGAGATGTCAGGTTCAAATCCACGATACAAGCTTAGCAAGGCAAGATAATTCTAAAAAAAACCACTTTCTAGTCACTCTTTCACTCTAAAGATTCCAATTCCTAATGATAAATTAGAGGAATGAAAGTGACAGACCCCACCCAAAACAAACAGTAAGGCTATTTTACAACCCCAGCACGTACAGGCACATAGCATTAAAAAAAAAAAGCAAATACAGAAATCCAGCTACATTCACTGCTGAAATGATCAGTGTTGCCAAGTCTAGTCAGAGATAGACAGCAGACAGTTGTGCACCCCAGGGCTCAACAGGGTCCAAAGCTGTTCAACATCATCATCATCATCAGTGCCCTGGATGAAGGGACAGCGTGCGCCCTCAGTAAGTTTATGGATGATATAAAACTGTGAGGAGTGGTCTGTGCTGCCATTCAGGGGGACCTTGACAGGCTGCAAGAATATGCAGAGAGGAGCCCCATGAATGGAAGTGCAGAGTCCGACACCTAGGGTGGAACAATCACAGACAAGAGGACAGGCTGGGCACTGACCTGCTGGAGAGCAGCTCTGTGGAGAAAAGCCTGGGGGTCCTGCTGGAGAACAAGCTGCCCATAAGTCAGCAGTGGGCTCTTGTGGCCAAGACCACCTAAAGGCCAAAAAAGGCATCCTGGGCTAACACAGGAGGACTACATACAGGTCAAGGGAGGTGATCCTCCCTTGTGGAGGCCTGCTGAGGCCACACGTGCAGTACTACACCCACGTTAAAGCTCTGCTGTACGGGACATGGAACTACTGCACGAAGTCCAGCAAAGGGCCACTTAAGATGATTAAGAGGGCAGAGCATCCCTCATACGACAGGATGCTGAGAGAGCTTGAGTAACTCAGCCTGGAGAAGGCTGACAGTAGATCTTATCAATGTGCATTAATATATGAAGGCAGAGTGTAAAGATGAAGCCAACCTCTTCTCAGTGATGCCCAGTGATAGGCCAAGAAGCAATGAGCAAAAACTGCAACACATGGAATACGGTCCAAATGTAAGAAAGAGCTCTTTGACTGTAAGGGTGATGGGAGCAGGTTGCCCAGAGAAGTTGCGGAGTCTCCATCCTTGGAAATATTCAAAAGCCATCTGGACAGGGTCCTGGGAAATGTGCTGCAGGCAATCCTGCTTCAGCAGAGGGTTGGACCAGATGATCTTTAAAGGTCATTTGCAGCCTCAGCTCTGCTGTGAAAAGAGACTGCCCCAGTTTTCCTCAATAGGTTAACTCAAATGGCTGAACTCTAGATCCTGACATAAAAATACTTCCATGGAAAAGAGCACAAAAACACTACAGTACATTACACTGACGGCCCATGCAGCTGAGAGAAAGTACTTAGCAAAAGAAAGTAAACAGAAGGAAAACACTGACAGAAGTATTTGATTTTTCAAATGTAAGCAGTAAAAAGATTTACAGGGTAATCACCCTTCCAGAGATGTCAGCAAAGGGTAGGAGAGTCTTGACTTTAGGGATTTTTATCTACGGCACTCTACCTACAGAGTTAGAGCAACACTGCAGTTAGCTCTAGTCTAAAACAGCCTACCTCTGGCCACATGGAACTGTGCAGGGAACAGTTTGCCCAAGAGAAATGTCAGCAACCCTACCCTCCCTATCCTGTCGAAATGCTAACACCTAGCCTCTTTCTCTGCCACTGCTCTCCCTGGCTGCTCAGATTCCCAGAGTTTTATAGACAATACCTTTCAAATTGAAGTGTTTTCTGAGGTTAGGAACTGAAAGCGTGTGTTGTAAATACCACATCCAAAAGTTTCTCTCTTCTCTGGAAGCCAGGGAGAACACTGGCAGAAAAAGAGGGTAGGTGTGAGCATTCCAACAGGACGGGGAGGAAGGGAAAGCAGTGACTGTCGCACTAAAAATCACTGTATCTGATGGAAATGGGTTGCAGATGATTATACTTATCTTGTATTGCAAACTTCCTCTAATTTTTCCTCAACCTTTCAAGTCAGGAAGCAACCTCTGACCTCACTGCATTTAGTGAGACTATTTAGTTTTGTGCTGCTGTGGCAAAGAAAAGGTACTATGTGTGAGAATGGGCTGCTCTAGCTGGATATTAGGTCTTTGATACCTATGATGTGCAAGATCATTTGGCTATTAAAGGACATCCCATGAGTTAAGTGAATACAGTGAATGTATGTGTGCACACGTGTTCATAGATGTATATTCATGCACATATACATATCCAAACACAGCCCTGTAGAACTATTTAATACATCACTGAAGCAAAGTAGGGTGATGACACATTCATAACACAATGCAATAAAAACTCCTGAATGGGTAATGAAATGTTAGAATATTTTAAAACTTCATGAAGCACACTGAGAATTTCTGCAACACTTACAGGCTACAAGCTTCCAAGTCTAGTAGTTCTAATTATTCATAATAATGAATTTATCACAGAACAGTTGGGGTTGGAAAGGACCTCTAGAGATCATTTGGTCCAATCCCTCTGCTGAAGGAGAGTCAGCTGATTGCCCAGGACCATGGTTATAAATGGGCAAGTTTAAAAAAAAAAAAAGTAATTCTTGCATTGCTGCACTTTATTGGAATGACGTACAAGGACTTCGCACAGAAGTGTAGCCTCAGAAATAAAGGAACACTCTAAAATTCTGAAAAGCGCAGTTAAGAAGATTTATAAAAGATCGGAGTTCTCCTGCTATTCACAAAGACCAAATCAAATTTGTTGTTTGTACTCCAGTAACTATGTGTCATTACATGCTTGCCAACTCTGTGGGCAGCATATAGCAAATTTTCTTGATTTTGGATGAAGAATCTTGTTAAGGCAGCTTCCTCAGAGGACAGCCATAGAATCCACAAGAAGAGCTCCTAGGCAAGCTAGAAAAAAATCTCTTTGGAAAAAAAAAGTTAATCACAGAATGCATTATACAAGTGTATGTAAAAATCTAGCACATCACCTAGAAAAGGATATGGACAATGTATCACTACTGTGAACATCAAGGCAGCTTTCACTGTGGTATAGTATAATTGAAGGAGGAAAAACAAAACAAAACAAAAACTCTTCCACAAATACATCTTGCAGAATAGTCATCTTGCTACTTTAAGAAGTGATAAAAGCAAATAACATGATCAACAACATAAAAGAGCATAGGGTTCAGCAGAAACTTCATTAAAAACCAAGTATTACAGCACAGTTCAACTGCATTTTTACATGCTCGGCCAAAACTGCGTACACTGACTGGAAGGCTTTATTCTTTAGCCACCAGGAGTGTCAGCCTGGGTTGATAAGCATTAGTATTCAATCCATATACAAAGTTACAGGTAAAGAAAAATGAGTATTCTCTTTTGAGCTGTAGCTAAAGCCAGTTCATGATGTGAAAAATAACCACCAGAGCCTACATATTACACAAAAACCACTGCCAGTGTTCCTCTGGAGTGCATTTTCGTTCAGCCATTCACTCTGTTCAGACGCACGAAGACACACTGCCTACCAGTTTACACTTCCAAAAAGCTTCTCACAATTTTTGGCATGGCACACCGCAGCCACAATAAGTCAGAAAGAAATAACTTTTCACTAGCTAGAAATAGCGGCCTTTCTGTCTGAACAGAGCTGGCATTTAGGAATTCTCAGGAAGAGGAGGGAGAGAGAAAAAAAAAAAAAGCCATACCCTAAGCCTAATCAAGAGCCTAAATTTGCTTGCCCATGGAGAAGTCAACTGGCAAACATGAGCTGAAGTTTATTAGAGGGCTTCCAGCTACCAACTAACATTGCCTCAATCTTACACACTCTGTACAGTACTCCGAGGCTTATGTCCAGATAGAGTAAGGCAGTAACAGAGGAGCTACAAAAAAAGGATCCACAACATAGTAATGTCATGCTTCAATTTTGAAAGAAGCAGAAAGAGGGAAGCCCAAGTAAACAGGAGTGGCTTGCACTAAAATTCCAGTATGAGTCAGTCTACCCACCACACCACTAATTACATTCAGGGATCAGATTTTAACATTCAACCATTTATTATTTTGTAGAATAGTGATAGTTGGTGATTGGGTATTTCACTTAACTGTTTATAAACATCTAAAATAAAAGTATTTGTAAGACATATTATCTTACTTGCCCAAAATAAATAAAAGGATTTTCCCTTCCGGTTCAGATTTTCAGTAAAATAAAGAACTGTATCAGGAAAAACTTAAATTGACTATGACCAAAGCAGAGATTTTCTCCAAGAGCTCTAATCAGCACACTTCCAAAGCTCCAGGTCAGGACATTACAGAGTTCCATCCCTTCTGTCTATAAATACTGTTTTATAAAGAGACCAAAAGGGCAAATATTTATTTCTTCTAAAGTTTTACGTAGGATATGCCAGATAAAACAACTAGATTCTTAATTCATGTGATTATCCAACAGGAAGTGATTAATTAAATTTCACCAGTTGGAGCAGGGGTTTTCAGTTGCAGCTATGTTAGTTCGCCAGCCGATTGGATTTTCCCTAGCCTGAGCTCTAGAATCATGTAATAAACCCCAATTATTTTGCAGCACCGATCTCTTCACCTGAGATCAGGCTGCTAATCTCAGCTAAAGTAACCTAGATTTATAACCGCTATTTCCAAGCTTGTCTTCACACAACTTACCATGAGCACTGCTGTATCAGCACCAAGAAGTGTGCAATACACGAAGAACAGTCAGGAGAGGAATAGTCAGTCTCCTCTGAGTAATCTTCACTAGTCAGTCTCAGTTGTTGGATCTGATTAGCTCCCAAAAGACTACGGTAATAAAAAAGCCACCTCCATCCCTCCTCTTACCCTTCTCCCACTGTAAAAACAACACAACCTCTCCCACGTGCACACCCACACCTTCACGTGCCTTACATTACTAAAAATCTAGCGGAGCTTCCTATCGATATGCAGCATCCTCTCCAACAAGTTCAGATCTCAGTTCTTAATGGAAAATTGAATTTTAAATATTAAACAAAAATAACCTGTATGCTAAAAATAACTTCCTAGGGAAGAATCCATTAATTGCTCTCAATTCTTGGTAGTTTCTCTCAAAAAGGAAAGTGTTCTCATCTCTTACAGAAGATTATGATTTTCTTCCTCATTACACAACCAAATACAAAAAAACAGCAAACAAACAGAAAAAATGAAAGGCTAGCAGAATAACTTTCAGTTTCATAAAGTACCTGCATTTCCTTCAGTTTGCAGAAATCTGATTCTAAAATGTGATTTTTCATGCATGATTGTAATCAATGAATTTTTCCTTGTGAAAAGGTAGTTTACATTAATTTTGATTCTCCTATGCAAAGCCCACCCAAAGCACAGCAAGAACCTTTTCAGTCATCATGCATAAGGTAGGTTCTTATAARGAATGACAACTATAAAGCTGTTTTACCCTTACAGTAGAAATACAAATGGATGCTCTTAGCTGCACCTTTCTCAAACCTAGTTGCGTGCTAAATCTAACCCTGTCACATCACACTTACTCCTATAACATGGCAAGCTACCAAGAACTTTCCCTCACAGGAGCAGCTAAAATCCTAACATGCTAGAATCCTCACAGTCCTCACACACCCACATGACCTGCTATAACATGCAATAATAGTCACTGTCCTTTGCATGTAGACCACCTTTTGCAAAGCTAAGTTTTGTGTTCACAAAAAAAAAATTCCACAAAAGATCCGTGTTGCACAGATCAAACTTTTCATGAGATGAAAGCAAGCAGGTACATACTGATCTTCTGTTCCAAAAAACTTCACAAAGAAGCACTTTTTCCCACGAGGTTTCTTCAGATCTTTAGGTGGATTAACAATCTGGAGGTGATTAAAGGAAAAAAAAAAGTTAAAGAGACTGTTTCATACACACAGAACTTATTCTCTACAATTTTCTTACTAAATGTTTCATAGCTATTTTGGGTTTTTTGTATTTTTTTTTAATTTGACTAGAAAGAGAACTTGAATTCATGACAAATCTCCCAAGTAAATTTGTAATCCATGTATTTCCTTAGATAAACCTACACTGCAACATGGTACAAAAAAAAAAAAAAAAAAAAAAAAAAAAAAAAAAAAAAAACCCAAGATCCACTGATCCATTGCTATGCTTAGTGAGGTTTTTGCCCCTGTATCCTGAATTAAATAAAATATTTTAAATATTTTTTAAAGTTTGTTCCACTTTTAATTTACGTGCAAAGCTGTGTTACCCCCTGGAGAGGTTTCTTATTTAGCTTAAAATATCAGTAAGGAGAGAAGCAGTCATTCTGTTACTCGGGTGACAGCTGAAAGACTGCAAGTGAGCTTGAATTTAACTGGACCTGACAGCCAAAGTGCAACCCAGTATTCATGGCTGTCAACCACACGGACAACACTTTCTCCAGTAGCATGCCGTTATCTCAGCATGCACAGCACTCACACCTACACCAAAAATAAAAACACAGTTTCTCCTCAGGAAGGAGAAAAACAAAATCTTCTCAGATGAAACCAAAATAATCTTTTTAGTCCTTCATCAGAGAGAAGGAAAAAAAAAAAAAAAAAAGAAAAAGAAAATACAACTCTTCTTCTGCCTCCTCTCCCAAATCATCACTGAAAAAAGCATTAAAACAGTATCTCGGGGTGGGGGGGAAGAAAGAAAAAAAGTATTTCTGGAAAAAAAAAAAAAAGAAATCCATGTATTTCTGAAAAACCAAACCCTTCACACTCTTCTTTAAAATACTTATTATAACTATTTATTATGGCAAGAGTACTACTCATCTTGCAGAAAGTGACAAGAATTCAATTGCTAAATCTGAGGAATGCAGTCAGCTCTGGAAGGAAAGAAATTGCTGGTCTCTCTTGCTTTCCATTCCATCTGAACTAACAGCTGTTGGTAACAGGCTGAACTTCCAGACCAAATAAAGCCCTTCATGCAGTGCCTGCTTCACAGTTCAGATCTGTGAGGTTTGTATTAAAAATAATGATAATAATAATTTTTAACTAAAACTCATTTGGTGAAAGTTTCTGTGTGGCAGGGTGAGGTAGAACACTCACCTTTCCAGGCCATGGAGGATACCGGCCCAGCTTCCCCCTGCAAAAGAATGAAAAGATTAGGCACTAGAACATGGGAAAAAACAACTATCCAATATCTGGGTTTTTTTTTAATATTACACCATATTTTCTGTACTGAGAGCACATTTTCAAGTAAAAACCTATCGTGAAAGATGAGACACAAGCCTGTAACATAAGTATAACATTACTGGAGACCTGCACCTAAACTAAGCCTCTGTACAATTCGTATAAAACTCAACGGAGCACCAAAATTTAAGCCCAGGAAAAAGAAATAGCAGCAGCAGCATACTGCCCAGAAGACATAGTGTGACAGCTCCTACTATCCTTTCAAGACTGGATATTCTTTCACAAGGAATTGAGCTAGAATATTGATGCAGGCAATCAAACCAAAGTTCAAGTCAATAACTTAAATGATGCTTCAGGACAGATCAGTCTAGGAGGCAAAGAAACCACTGATTTCCATCTCGGGCAGATGAGATTCTTAAAAGTTCTGACAGGAAAATGTTTATGGCAGAATCCACTGAAGGATATCAATAGTTTCTTTATAACTTTCTTCAGATGCTCACCACCATTATATAATGTGCTAAAGATACAAAAGAATCATAAGAAAAGCTGAAATATTTATTTCCTGCACTTGCAAATACGTTCACTATAAAAATGACACAAAAAGAGGGAAAAAAAGCAGTTAGTCTTAGCCCAAATCATGGCAGCTGTATTATTACTTCACCCTTGCCACGTACAGAGTTGCTTTCACAAAAGCCTATCAGTTACTACAAGAGATTGGCAGAGAACCTCTAGAGCCTGTCTGCTGCTGAACTGAAAATTCTCAGCAAAGAGCAGCATTTCAGTCCCTTCTGAGATGACAACTGTGCGCAGGAGATTCAGTGTTGACAGTCTGGCAGGGACACTGCCAAGAGCTTCAGCCATGACCATGGCTTGTACCTGACACTTCTGTTCTTGCACTGAACAGGACTTTCATCAAAGTCTTCCATCTGTTGCTGTCTTATTGCTACTGTTCTTCAAGATGGGTCTAGGGATAGTACCTGTCTAGGCTGTCACGTGCAAAACTAAAGCAGGATAATCTGCATTCCAGCACTGAGCACAGTGCACTCCCCAAATGCTCATTTGAACAAATTTTACTAAAAGGAAACAACCTTTACTTACTTTTTCTATACAAATTAGATAACTTCACCGTCAATTTTTCAGACGAGCAACTGCAGTTGTCACAGATGGGAGCACGTACATCCTTTCATCTGGGATATAAATATAAATGCATACACTTGCGTGCTGGGGATTAGCTATTTGTTGCAAACCCTAGCAGCCTGTCCTAGCCTATCAAGAACAGCAGAGCCAAGGACTCAAGAATCGGCACCTGGAGGCCTCAAGAGAATCCTCTCAGCTCCCTCGATCTGGAAATTAGAGAGGAAAAAAAAAAAAAAAAAGGCAGCTTTCTGATTCCTTGAGGACAAATCTGCAGTGACGTGGGGAAGTGGCAGTTTCTGTGAGTGTCAACAGGAACCTCCTAACCTGTAAGGACAATCAGCCTCCTGTGCCGCTCCGTTAAAGCACTCCCAAGGAACAGCACGGCTGCTCTCGCGGACTTTATTTACTCTTTATTTACTTCCCTGTCTCCTCCCCTGGGAGGAGACCGTGTTTACACCGCAGCCCCAGYCGATCGCTCCTCTCCCACCCCCCTCGCCCCTTCCGCCTTCCTCTTCCCGGCCGCCTCCGGTGCCGGAGCCGAGCGCGGCTGCCCGGGASAGCGGCGGCACCTCCCTGCCCGGCGCGGCCCGTGCTCGGAGGCCTGCGGAGGCGGCGGCCCC